CTTGTTATTCAGCCGGTGACACTTTACTCACACCGTCTGACACTTTTGAGCACCTGCAGAGACTTGTTATTCAGCCCATCGATGCTCCATTCACACCATTTGTATGACCTTTTGATCTCTCTGCCTATAAATTCTGTGCCTGTGTGCTTCTCTTCACTTCATTTGATGAAGGAGCAGTGCTCCAAAAGCTTATGATTTCAAATAAACCTGTTGGACTATAACTTGGTGTTGTGTGACTTCTGACCTTATGGATTGTGGACAAGCTTTCAAGAACAGGAGGTGAGTTCCTCACCACACTATTCCTTACTTCTGACCCGGTCCTGTTCAGTTTCTGGTCAGTGGTAACTCTCAAGTTAGTGGGGGAGTTGAGTGACGATGATGCCATTGAATGTCAAAGGGGAGACGGATAGATTCTCTTTTGTTTGAGATGGTAATTTTCATTTGCATGTGGATGTGAGCTACTTCAGAATCTTGGGAGTCACAAGTGATGCTGAATGTTGTGGAATCATCAGGGAACATTCCCACATCTTACCTTATAATGGAAGGTAGGTAATTGATAATGCAGCTGAAACTCATTGAATTGATGAGACCTCAGGGCCAGAAGACCTGGGTTCAAGTCTCACCTGCAGGTTGATTAAAAATATCCATCCTGAAGCACTCCTTCAGAGATTTCCTGGAGCTGAGGAGATTAACCTTCAACAACCGCAACCTTCCTTTGTGCCAGGCCTGATTTCAACCAGTAGAGAGTTCGCCCCACACCCCCATTCCTATTCAAGTTTTTCTTGATCCCAAACCTGTCCAATTACTGCCACGATTTCAAGGACAGCCGCTCTCACCTCATCTGTGCAGTTCTGTTCTGTTGTTTACGTTTGGACCAAGATTGTAATCAAGTCAAGAGCTGAATGGCCTTAGCGGAACTCAGACTGAGCCTGTTGTTGCTATATTGACGTTACAGATGATCTGTGGAATCATACAGTACAGAAGAGGCCCTTCAGCCCATCCCTTCTAACAGTTTGCTGATGATTGAGAGTAGACTGACAGGATGGCAATTGACTAGTTTAGATTTGCCCTGCTTATATCCTGGCAATTTTCCACATTGTCAGGTAGATACCATGCTGTGAAAAGAGAGAGGGAGAGAGTGAAGGCTTTGACCTGTGTCACCCTTCGGTTGACTCCCATGCAGTTGGTTGAGAATTGCCGGGGGAATTCTCGGTTCATGTGAGGGCATAGCTGTCACCACTGTGGTCTGTTTGCCAGCTCTGCACCTACATTGGCTGAGACAATGCTTCTTTGTCTGATCAGTTCTGTCTTCCGAGAGGTGGATCGACAATTCATTGTTTATTTCAATTTAGCTGGTGACAGTATTGACTTCAGAAAATCACCTGACCAGTTTTGAGTTGGGCGTTCTTGATTAGAAATCAAAGAAAGAAACACTGGCATTTCTGTAAAATCCTCACGTTCCCTGGATGTCCCAAACCACATTACTGCAATCAAGTAATCTTCAACATTTACTCACAATGCATCAAGGACCAACACTGAGAGCTGAATTTTGTGGGAACGATTGAACTGGTTAAGTTGCCAACTTGACAGACCTGGTCATTTAAAAAGGCTGCCCATTCTCCATACTTTCATTCTGGGAGGGGTGGCTGTGGGGTTCTGGGAGTGGGGGGGGAGTCATCAGTCAGGAGTGTAATGGATATGGACTTTCCTCCTCTGTAGAAAGCAGTTGGTATAAGGCTTTTCTTTTCATTCATTCACGGGATCTGGGTGTCACTGGCCCGGCTAGAATTTATTACCCATCCCTATTTTCCCAGAGGGCAATTAAGAGTCAGCCATATTGCTGTGGGTCTGGAGTCACATAGGCCAAACTAGGTAAGGATGGCAGGTTTCCTGAACAATATCGTAGAATCACATGACTTCACTACAATCAGTAGTGGGTCACATGATCACCATTGCAGTAGTTTGTTTTTCTTTTATTCAATTTTAATTTTGTTTTCATTCTAGATACTTACTGGATTCAAATTGTAAAATCTGCCATGGTGGGACTTAGACCCATATCCTCAGAACATTAGCCTCGGGTTCTGGGTTACCATTTGAGTAAAAGTCTTCCTGTTTGTAAATGATGTCCATGGCGGCCCATCTCAGTGGAAAAGCTAACCCTAACATTCTGTTTCTAACTTACAAATGAAGGAATGGATTGCAACTCACCAACTCCTGAACCATACTATCTCCTGGAAAAGACAAAAATATAAACAAAATGCTGGATCTATTTCCTAAAAAAGTTCAGAAAATTCCTCTCTCCATCCATAAAGCAAGCCAGGTCAACATTCATGGCTGTTGATGACACATCACAATCACAAGGAACTAGCAACTTTATAAGTAGAAAATTCTTATTCTGTCCAAACTTTCCAAGTGCTTTCTCAAATGAATGTGATGACTTCACACTTACCATGTCCATGCAACTTGATCCAGACGATACAGTATGAATTAAGAAATATTTCTACATCAAATGCCACATCCACAAACCCGATCATCCCTATCCATTTTCAGTAATGTTTACTTGGACCCTTTCTAATCTAAATATTTCAAACATCCTCTCTGCCTGCATTTACATTACATTATGAAAAAAAACCCTGTGGATTTCTCTGAAAGAACTCTAATGCTTGGAGCCTATACTTGCAAATTGGAGATCTGAGATTTGTTCTCCTTTGATATTCAATCTCCAAATCCTGACCAGAATCTTAAAATTGATTGCCATATGCTGGAATCAAAAGGTGGGGAATGAAGTTAATTTTGGGCAGTGGTGTGAGAGGAATATCAAATTGTCACCTCATTTCACACTTCTCTCTGTCTACTAGGCTATCCCATTAGACATCTAATAAGGGAACAGTGATCTATAATGCTCAATTATCACTGGCATAACTTGAGGATTGATTAATGGAAGGGAATGAAGAAGCAGGAATAAATGGATCATTCTCAGCATGTTAAGCAGTTATTAATGGGATATTGTAAGAATTAGTGTCAGGGCCGTAGCTGTTCACAGTCTGTATACATGATGAGATAATGCTGTGACTTCAAGAGGTGTGTTTTGTCCTGGTTTCTTTTAGGGAGAGACTGGGGGATAGATGGAAAGATAACCAACCTGTGAAGCCTTGGGTTTCTTTTTCAAAGCTGAAACAATAGAAGCAACCTGAATGGGTGTGGTTAAGCTCCCACCCTCAGAACCAGCGCTGTCAGGTTTAGCTTTCAGGAGTTGCTGTTGGGGTCTTGAAGAAGTGAAAGCTATTCTTTCCCTTTCGTGGTTACAGCCATAAACTCTCTGCGGGAGTTGCATGTCCAACAATCTGTGTTCTGAATTTTCCAAGGGTGTATTTATGGGATGTTACTGTGTTGGAAAAGTTAATTAATAACAGTTACTATATCTACTATTCTGTTAAGTTTTCTATTAGGACTAAGTTATTCCAAGTTCCTGTTTCTTTTGTTGTATTTTAACTAGAGTGTTTGAATAAATTGTGTTTTGCTTAACATCGAGTTGTTTGACCAAATGAATTGCATCTGGAACACAGCACCTCATATTTACCTTTAATGTAAAAAAAAAATGAGAGTCTAGGCTACCTTTTTAATATGTTTTGAGGGGGGTCTGGTTTGTTCCATAACAATGATCTGGATGTGGGAAACAAATATAATATTTCACAGTTTGAATATGCAAAACTAGTTGAGAATATAAATTGTGGGGAAGATGCCTCAGTGGCAAATACTCAGACAAATACTGCGCAAGAACTTGGCAGATCAGATATAATATGAATAAGCATGAAGTTATCCACCTTGGTCCAGAGGAAAGAAAGAATATTTCTTAAATGGTCAGAGGTTGGGAATTTTCTTGTCTAAAGTGACCTGGGTTGATGATCCATTAAAAACTAGCATGCAGGTTCAATAATTAGTGAGGAAGGCAAATGGTAAGTTGGTCTTCATACAAGAGAATCCAAGTTCTGAGGCAAAGGAGCCTTGCTGCAGTTGTATAGAGCCATTGTGAGAACGCACCTGGAGTATTGTGTACAGATTTGGACTCCTTATCTAAAGAAGGATATACTTGCCACAGCGAGCCTTAGAGGATTAGCTCGGTTGATTGGATGGTTGCTTTGCAATGCAGAGTGATGCCAAAAGCACAGTTTCAATTCCTGAAACAGCTAAGGTCACCATTGTGTCTAGAATTTTGATGAAGGAGAAGTGATCTCATTGAAACATAGAGAATACTTAGAGGGCATTTCAGGTTGCATGTACGTACGATGTTTATCCTGGAAGTTCAGTCCAGAACCAGGAGTTATGATCTCAAAATGAAGCATAGGCATTTAAAAGCAAGATAAGTTGGAATTTATTCACTCTGAGAATGGTGAATGTTTAGAATTCCCTCCCCCATAGGATTATGGAGTTAAAACATTGAGCATGTTCAAGACAGAAATCAATAGATATATGGATACCAATGACAGCAGGGAATACAGAAAGAGTGTGGGTAAGGGACATTGGGATAAATGAATGGCCGTAATTTACTGGGATGAATGGCCTACTCCTGATCTGTATCACTTATCCTGGGAGAAGCAAAAAAAAATCACTGAGGGAATTAACAATTTCGGAATATTCCTCTCCCCTCAGCTGGTGTTCCAACTACTTTTTAATTCCCCTGTCCGGACTTCTAAAGTCCATGTACAACAGCAACCTCCGGAATGGGAATCGATGCTGAGTGGTTTCAGCACACCGAATGCAGTGCGTGGACCCTCAGAGCGGATTCTAGGAGGTTAGAGGGGATGTTGCCCTTAACCTTAAATACACAAACGACATCCATGATGCACCTTGCCCAGTGCTCTGAGCTACATGGCTAGCTCCTCTGTTACCCACCCACCACCCCTTCCCCAAATCCACAGCCAGTTTCCATGAATGGACCAAACATGACATTCCTGTGATTGTTCTTCTGTTACTCAACGTGTTTCACCTTTCGGTTTCAGCGGCAGTGATGCTGGTGCCTCAGAGAAGCACTGCGGATGGATTTGAAGAGCACTTTGGTGTGAACTACCTTGGACACTTCTTGCTGACCCGTCTTCTTCTGGATACCCTGAGGGAATCGGGGAGCCATGATCGTAATGCTCGAATTGTCACTGTTTCTTCAGCCACCCATTATATTGGCGAGCTAAACTTCAATGACTTGCAAAGCAGGTATGAATATGGTGCATTTGTATTTCTGCCTTTGCTGCTGAATGGGTTTATTTGGAATATACTTCAGTGGATGATTCAATAGGTATGAACTTGAAACTTGGAGCAGTCCATCGTAGTGCATCATTTCCTCCCAATGTAATTATTTGTTTGTATGTATGGGATAGCAAAAGATTACAGCGAGGAATGATGTTAGAAATCCCTTCCTTATGTAAAGCACTAAAAGATGTTGAGGCTAGGGTGGTCAGTTGAGAATGTGAAAACTGAGATTAGTGGATTTTTGTTGGGCAAGGTTACAGAAGCAAGCAGATGGAATTAAGGAATAGATTGGCCATTGTCTAATGCAATGGTTGGAACAGGTTCAAGAGGATGAGTGACTGACTCCCATTCCAATGTTCCTGAATGTGTCTTTGAAGGTTTCTTATGGTCACTATTTCCAGTGGTAGACATCTTCTCTAGTTTGCTAGAAAAAGCAAATGGAAAGAACAACGCAAAGGCATTTACAAAATTGCTGCACAAGAATTCTTAATGTGACTGTGGAGGATTTCTACCAGCATGTTGTTTACCTGTTACAGCTTGAACAGAGCAGCTGTAAAGCAGACTGGAGACGTTTGATGAATATAGATGAGTCAATATTTTACACACGCTCTTATAAAACAACAATACAGTCTTTGTCACGGAGCTGTGTGCGTTCTGTCTTTCATGTCCGAACAAGAGAATGACTTGACAGCAAGAATGGACAACAGAACAGAGTACACGAAAGATAAATTATACCATAATTTCCACCTAGCCTCTGCACCACTTACTGCTTTAATAAGGTGTAAGCTGGTTCCATTATGTTACACTCAGGAGGTGTTTGCTCTCATAGTGGTTGCTTTGCAAGTGTTACCCCATAGCTCTTAGTGTATTCAAGTCACAGCACAAATAATCAGAGTGTCATTTGTGAGCGTTAGGGAACTGCAAGTGCTTGTAGAATAACAATTTCGATCTATCTCTCCGTGAATATCTATACTGCATTGAAGCAATTGCAAAACAGAAATGAATCAGAATTTTTTAAATGAATCTCCAGAGCCCTCCAAAATAAAAACCGAGGAACTTGAACAAAATGGAAGAGGGTAAAAAGCTCAGTATCTCCAAAGCTGTTGATGTACCAACTCAGCTTTCCCTTCTCATTTTAATCCTTCCTCTCTCAATTACCTAGCATCCTAATTTGAACTGACCATGCCATTGGTCTTTCTTGGTAACTCATCACCTAGCTGCATTGGCTTTTGAGGAAAAGAAATCCCCTGTTTGAGCATTGGCACGGAATGTCACCCTTTCCCATCAGGTGACTTCAGAATCAGGAGATCGGAAGGAAGGATACAGGATAGTGATCCCACCGCCTTCCTGGCTCCTCCTGATTAATTCCAAGTGGGAAGGCTTTCATGTGACCTTCGTGCCCAGAAACCAGTTGAAGCCCCCGAGGGCCTCCCGCTCCTGCCCCTGCCACTGGTATTGAGCCAATGGGCTGGCACAGGTCTCGCCATCTGGGAAGGCCACCTGGAAAACCCTATTGGATCTCAGCAGGGAGAACTTTCACATGGTCGCCGGGCGTCAGTCACATCCCAGTCTTTACTTCCAACTTCCAACTTCCTTACTTTGCCGGCCACATCTCCTCCACAGGACTCATTCACCTACAGTCAGTTCTCTCTGGGGCCCATCAGTCATCCTTCTGTTAGGCTGCACTGTAGAAGCACCAGTTGTTACCCCTGCAGCTGGCTGTGCTGGTACCGGTGATGACTCAGATTAACCAACAACTCACAGGGGCAGCATTTCTACATCACTGTGGCCTCAATCGAAAGGGAGGTCCAACATTGGCCAGTTGAGTGGCTGATTGGAATGAAATAGCACCAGGTCTCATGGAGACGACTGACATGGGACTGTTATGGTTCTTCACAGTGAGTCAGGCCCCTGTCACCCACATTAAATCCTGGCCCTGTTCTGGATGTTAAAATTCTCATCCTGGCTTTCAAATTCCTCCATTTCCTCATTCCTCGCAATCTCTGTAGTTTTCCTAGTCCACAACATTGTAAGATGCCTGCTTCTCTCCAAGCTTGGTTTCATGAACAAGCCTCATTTTAAAATCTCCACCCTTCAGTGTCTGGTCTTTAGATTACTTCTGGAAGTCTCTCCCTAAATGTCTGCCTCTCTATTTCTTTCTGCCCTGTTAAGACTTTTCTTCTAGTCTAAGCCTTTGTGTAACCTTTCAGTCATCTGTCCTGTTTCCTAATGTAGATTAATGTCAAAATTTCTATGATCATGCTGCTGTGAAGCACTATGTTCACTGTATTAAAGACTCTGTATAAATGCTGACTGTTGTCAATGACTGTTGTCTTGGGCCCCCTACTACCTGAACCTTTCAATTTGTAATTTTTTTTATTCATTTACGAAATTTGGGGCTGCTGTCTGGGTCAGCATTTATTACCCATCTCTACTTGCCAGAGGGCAATTAATGTCAGCCAAAGCTATGAGTCTGGAGTTGCAGGTACAGCAGACCAAGTAAGGATAGTAGATTTTATTCCCATATTAGTGAATCAGATGGATTTTTACAACCATCAATAGTGGTTAAATGGTTACCATGACACGAGTTTTTAATTCCAGATTTTATTGAATTCAAATTGTACCATCTGTCATGGTAGGATTTGAACCCACAGGACATTAACTTGAGGTTCTGGGTTACTGGCTGAATATCATTTCCACTTTATCACTATTACTCCATCAGCACAGTCAATTCCATTCCAAGTTAGTGACGTCACTTTAAAATCCACATAATCCACTCCAAATAAAGTGAACTCAACTTCATGCCAGTTTATCTGAAATACTTATATAATCACCTAGCTTTGGTACATTACTTTTAGTTTCAAATGAAAATCATTTATCTCATTCTGATATGCCATTGCCTTTCCTGACAGCAAGTGCAGGTATCTGAATTCTCTACTTAGACCTCAGTAAATGGTAAGGAGCAGGAGACATCTATTAAATTACTTCAGATTATAATTTAAAAGAAGATTGGCTGTCTGTGTTCGTGTCTTACAAAGCTGTAAACGTGCTCCACATTCAGTATAAACCCACAGGAACAAAGCTGTTTTGACGTAGGGACTAGTCTGCACCCCTCTTGTGTATTCTGTCCCAGTAACACATGATGTAAGACAGCTGTTGCCATATTTACTGGCAGGAGTTGTGCTGCGAGCTTTAAATCAGAATAAGCTTCATATCCTTAACCCTCTCTGCTCCATTTTCGTTCTAGTTCAAGAGCAAAATGCCAGGGATGTAGATACCTGAGATTTAACCATAAGTACTGGAAATATTCAGGAGCCCAGGAAGCCTCTGTCAAGAGAAACAAAGTTTTGCGTTGTTGACTTTTCCTTGAAACTGGAAGAAGATTTGAGATGCAGCAGGTTTTAAGCCACTGTGGAACATGAGAGGGGAGGAAACTGTTTTGACTGAAATGGGACAAATGTCCTCTGGTCTCACTGCTCCATGTGTTACTGCATAAATTTAATTGTTTTATCAGGTTCCCACAATAAGCTTTCTCTAAATTAGTCTTAGAATAAACAGGTACACCAACCAGTTTGTTTCAATAAACACAAAATTATAATCATTACACTAAGATTTAAAACTGGTCAGCACACTCAGTTTGTAATATGAAAATATAAATATTTACCCCACTGAATAGGCCATAAAACGTACAAAATGCAACCACACATGCCAGGGAAAGGAGACAGTAAATGGATTTCTTCCTGCAGACATTAAAAAAACAGTTTTGTCCAATAAATCTTAGCTCATGAAAGCAAAAGAAATACGGTTTGAGAAGGTCAGATAACTGTCAGCCTGTGAACTCCCCTGCCCTAGGGAAGAGACTTGGCTATTCACCTTATCTGTGCCCCTCATGATTTTGTAAACCTCTAAAAGGTCACCCCTCAGCCTCCTATGCTCCGGGGAAAAAAGTCCCAGCCTATCCAGCCTGTCCTTATGATTCAAAGCCTCCTGTCTCAGTAAAATCCTTGTAAATCCTTTTTGCACCCTTTCCAGTTTAATAACATCCTTCCTATAGCAGGGCCACCAGAATTGTACACAGTACACCAAATGTGGCCTGACCAATGTTTTGTACAAAGTAGCTGAAATAGGACTCCAGGTACCATACTGGGTTATGAACCCAGCAGATGCTATTACCAGACAAATCCAATCCCAAATTGAAATCTACCTTGATGGATAATATTCTGCTGTGTTTTTGTTTTAACATGGTGCTGTCAATCTGAGAAAAGTTCTACAGTACCCAAGAGCAACCCTGTATTTTTCTCGCACCCTTCCTCTCACACTTCAACAGGTTTAAGGTAACTATGACTTTGACTCCTGGAACCTCTGATAGCTTATTTCTGGATCTATCATACATTTGAGTTTAAACAAACTTAGCTTCAAGTCCTCTTCAGGGTTTTATCCCAATGTGTCCAAGTCTGGGGCTATCACTAACTCCTTACTCTAAGACAATCTAATTTCACTATATTTTCCTCTTCTCAAGAGTGCTGCTTTAAAAGTGCATCTCCAAGCTAGGACCTCACAGAACTGCCCAAAATGAAGCAAAACTGAGGCATATAAATAACAAGCGGGACAGAACACCTATGCTTTACCAGAGGTGCACTGTCAATGTTACCTAGCAAGGTGACGAAACATCTGCAACCAAGCATACTGGTTCGGCAAGCAAGTCTACAACCACAAGAATAAAAGGCATGGGCTGTTATAGAATGGACGCAGGAAAGGTAAATAACAAGAGAGCTGATAGTGAGATGTAAAGGGAACAAGTGGAGAAACAAAAGGCAATCCAGCATCATAAGTAACAGCAACAATCCAAAACCATGAGAAGAATATTTGATAGTTAGGGCAAGTTCTCTGCTTATTTCTCCATGCCTGCAATGGTTATGTCCTGGAAAGAAACTCAATAGTTTAAGTCTAGAAGCTGGTAAAGC